AAAAAATAAACAAATTCAAATATCGAATTCAGATGTTCGCGCTCCGCTGGCGCATCGTCAGCTACACTTGAACTTGTCGCACGCTATCGACAACGGTCACAAACTGAGATGCGCCAAAGCCGCTGCCATTTTCCCGCCAAACCGCGGACGTGATTTGCTTACGACCTCACCACATTACCACTGCCACACTCACGACTGTGATAATAAACGTGGTGGGCAGAAATTACATATAAATTGTGATTTAGGATCATCATAATAATTTCCATGTCACCTTTTATTAGTAAATTTTAATGTTATCTACTTCTTCGTAATAAACACACCCTTGATAAATGTACTCACTTAAACTGTAATTGAATACTTTGGCGTTACATTTAAATTCAATTATTTTGAAATCACGAATATGTAAGTATTTACATAAAAACATTTAGATACTTTTTTTTGTTTTTGGAAAGCAATACAAATATACGTTAACTAACAGAAATAATACATTCAAAAAACAAAAGATCCTTTTAACGTCACGCAACTCATAAGAAGCGAAAGTGAAGCTTTCCATAGAGGACGTAATGAGCTGGCGTTCTCGCCTTTTGACTAATGCTGCTACTTGTACTGCGAAAATATTTTAACCTGCATTTAAAATGATGCTAAATACAGAATTACTATTTCGGGAATATTAAAGTACAGATAGCAAATAAAATTTATATATTGTATGCTCGAGTGTAAACGAATTAATATTAAAATAAATCAAAAGTCATAGCAAACAGATGTAAATGTAATCTTAGCTATTTTTTTATAAAAGGCGTTTTAAATTTAGAGTTGTTTTTATGTTTTTAATTTATTAGTGTATGATATCCTTACAAAAAATCCTTGTCGGCTATACCTTAAAATATAACTATTTCCACACTATTTTCGACATGTTGGTTGATTTAAGTATACATTTAATTAACAATGTCGTCTCTGGATATGTACAATTATTTTTGTAGAAAAAACAACATTTAATTTGTAAAATAATTTATTGTTACCAAAACATACAATAAAATTTAAATTAAGACCACAAACAAAACATTTAAATTATTAACAAATTCGTAAAAACTAAATTTAAACATCAACAATTTTATACGAAACTTACAAACGTGAGAAAATCACAGTTACAGCCTAAAGAGCAACAATTCTTAACGTAAGATAATAAAAAACTTAACATAGATAAAAACAAACTATATTACTTAAAATACTGTTTGGAGTCACTTAACCTAACTTAATCGTTAAACATTTAAACATTTATTTTATGCAAATTTTAAATCCCGTTAAGAACAATTTATTAAACTCATATTTAATGTATTTTAGTAAGAAAATGCTTTTTACTCGTGTATTTATTTCTATTTCTAATCGAAATGTGACAACTTCAGAAATAACCAGTAAATAATATAGAATATGTAACAAAAAAATAATATTCTTATAACAATAAAAAATAATTAGAAGTAAATAGACTCCATTACAATATAATTAAAAATACACTCTTCGTCTTCTAAAAAAAAGTATTAGTACACAATAAATAAGGTTTTGTTAATTTATTTACAATTGAACACTAAAGTAGTTCCTCAATAACTTATATAATATTGGTAATCTGCACCACCGGCCTGGACCTTAAATATACTTACATAAGTAAATTATTACTAGTAACAATTAATTCTAACATAACCTAAAAGGTGCCACCAGAAAATATGACGTGAGTAAGCCGTAAAATAATTATAAAATGTCTCACGAAAGTTTAAATAATTTAATACCCCAAAAAAATGTAATTACTTCATATAAATTAAATAATAATGTAGTATCTTTCGGTTCGTTTATTTTCAATTCAAATAATTTGGGTTAAACAACTCCGATATTAAACCATAAACAATGGCTTGATTTTATTTGAAATACTTTAAATTAAATTTGTATTCAATAAATTCATAATATATAATAATAAAAATAATTAACAAAACAATAAATAGGTTGTAACTAATTCTAAATCGAAGTAAGAATGTGTCAAATATCTAAACAATTTTAGTAAATAGCCGAAAAAATACATTTGAAAATGCCATCACAGGTCTATAGATGTGGAATATTAAACTATGCAAAAGTTAACACGTAAATATAACCTAATTTCATCGTAATACAAGACATTAAAAAATCCTGATCACAAATTATAGTTAACACTAGTTTAATCCTATCTTTAACACGTTAAACGCTGATAGAGAAAATAAAAAATCGTAAAAATACTTTTGGTCGTAATTTGTTTATTATGTTACTATTAATATCTATTTTGGTTACTTTTTTCGCTATCTTTTATTTTTTTCAATTCTTTACAAGGTATGTTTGTCCCACTGCGCAGTATAGTTCTACAGCGCTGTGTCAGTCACGAAGTACGAATAAAGTAACAGTCAGAATGGCCGGTAGCGAGAAAAAGTAGTTTGAATATGACGTTACGTTGAGGTCACCGGTGACCCCCATGGCGCTATGATAGAGGAAGGGTGAGGTCACCGGTGACCCCATGGCGTTTGACGTGTTAATACGAAGAATAAATCTAAACATATTAAATACCACTATCAAATCATGGCATATTTTGATCGATTCGAGATCACTTTATTTATCGACATCTAAATATCTAACTGTAGAATGATTTATTTTTAAAATAAGAGATTATATTTTTACAGTCAATGTACTTATTTACATAATTGTTAGATTTATATTCGTATTTGTCCTAACAAAACTCAGTTGCAAAGGAAAAATACCGTAGGGATATAAATATTAGAACTCGACGTATAAATCAAGATTAGTATCAATTTTTTTGTGGAACAATAAAGCATTTTTTATTCTCAATTTCCACATAAACAAGAGTCCCGAAGATTAGCGCGTAGCCAGGACAGGTATCTTGTTATCCTGGTGTAGACGCCCGGGTAGCCCGGCCGGCCGCAGCCCACCCCCCACGACACTATACCTGAAAAAACAACACTTTAGTCACTTTTAACGAAAATACACTTTATTTTAATCAAAAATGAATGCTTGATCTAATACTTTTCTTTAGGACTAAATTAGTCCTAGTTCTTAATGGGACCAAACAAGACAATATTAAGACATGAATATCTACGCACCTACGTACCAATTACCAATTGTATTACAAACTAGCCGTTCCTGATGTTTCATCCACACGATATCACAAAAACTTTATTTCATTGTTTACAGTAAATAAAACTTTTATTAGCAAATGTCAATTCAAATATTTAAATAAGAACGAAGGCCTTTGACTGGTTTTTAATTATGGTTACCATGGCAACGTTGCGATTGACGTGATTATTTTCTGTTTGCGGAATAGCTTTCATTTAGTCACATTTATTACACACATTATAGAGTAGTTTTTTTAACATGCCCAAGGTAAGCATGTTATGGGCATGTTATGAGGAGGGATGAATCGCATGTTACAAGGAGAACGTTAGTTATGAGTGTGGAAGGGTACATCGGTAGAGGTAGTCCTAGAAAGAGATGGATGGATTGTGTAAAAGGTGACATGATCAAAAAGGGAGTGATGACTGAGATGACGTATGATAGTTATGTGGAGGACAAAAACCTGTTGCGCCGACCCTACGGGAGTAGGATAAGGATCTCCTTATTATCATCTGATGATTATAGAGTAGTTTTTTTTAGTTGTTATTATTAAGTGTACTAAAACTTTTGTCTTTTGATATTCATTTTTTATTTAGTTAAAG